GGGTGATTAATCCATCAGTGGTTCCTAGTCACCAGTTCTGAAGCTGCAGCCTACACTACGGAATAATCAAGCCTACCATTCAACACGAAGAATCTCAGCCGCTTCTCTGCTAGGAGTTGGAAATGGAATGAGCACTAAGATCAGATTGCCTGCCTGGTTTTCACACAACTCTTTGGGTCTGTACCCAGCTGTCATGATACCCTCTTACACAGATGTAAATCGGGGGGGGGGTGTCACATAGCACCCTCTTAGCACTCATAGCTGTAGGCTGCAATGTTCTATCTGCTTTATTAAACTGTTCTATGCTAGTCTATCCTGCTCTCTCTCTCTCTTTCTTTCTCTCTCTCTCTTCCAAGAAGATGTTCATTCCTTAATTTAAAGATATGCAGGCAGACCATAATTATCTTATAATAAAGCAAAGCCTCACAGGTGAACTGTGTTCGGCAAAGATGTGTTACCCTGTGCACTGAGTAGTGCCTTAGCGTTCATGCGCACATGTTTATGGAGATGTGTGCTAGACTCGAGTCTCCTTCATGTGTTCCTCTCACGAAGGGGCAAAGGACCTAGAAAGGGATGTCAAGGCCACACCTCTGGGCCTGACCCTGACAGTGTGGAGGGCAGGCTTTTTAACAGCATGACACTCATTCTCTGCTTAAATACAGTCAAACCTCAGTTGTTGTACTTAACCTTGGGTTAAGAACTTAATTCAATCTGGAGGTCCGTTCTTAACCTGAAACTGTTCTTAATCCGAAGCACCGCTTTAGCTAATGGGGCTTCCCGCTGCCACCGCACCGCCACAGCACGATTTCTTTTCTCATCCTGAAGCAAAGTTCTTAATCTGAGGTACTATTTCCGGGTTAGTGGAGTCTGTAACCTGAAGCGTCTGTAACCTGAAGTGTCTGTAACCCGAGGTACTACTGTAATCCATTCTGGAAGCCTGTTTGGCTTCTAAAATGCTCGACAACCAAGCTTCCTGCACCCAAGCGGAAGCCGCGTCGGATGTTCAGCTTCCGAAAAACATTAGAAAATCGGAACACTTACTACCAGATTTTTGGCGTTTGGGAGCCAAAACATTCCAAAATGGAGGAGTTTGGGAACCGAGGTTTGACTGTACAAGAGGCCTATCAGTATTGGCATTCCACGAGCTTTTGAGGATGCACTTGTTTACGAAGGCCTTCTCTTGATCTCGCCACCTAAATCCGCAGTTTGAATTGCTGTGTTGTTTTAACAGGACTGTTTTATTTTGCGTTCTAGTTATGGGTCTTTATATTTAAATGTTTGAATTTTCAACACTTTGCCAACTACTCGGAGGATCATTTTGTCATGAAGTGGCGTATAAAATGATGCTGAGTGCTCCTCACAGCCTCACCCCTGCTGGCTAGGTATGTTGGAGAAGAAGAAGAAGAGTTTGGATTTGATATCCCGCTTTATCACTACCCTAGGGAGTCTCAAAGCGGCTAACAATCTCCTTTCCCTTCCTCCCCCACAACAAACACTCTGTGAGGTGAGTGGGGCTGAGAGACTTCAAAGAAGTGTGACTGGCCCAAGGACTGGTGGAGGAGCGGAGACGCGAACCCGGTTCCCCAGATTATGAGTCTATCGTTCTTAACCACTACACCACACTGGCAGTCCGATGAAAAGAGGAATGGGAATAGCCTGTGTTTCCTTATTTGTCCCATGTCTGGAATGGAAATCAATCCAGTGAATATGATTGGTATTTTCTGTTGTTACTGCTTTCAGTCCACAAATGATAGGCAATTGATTACACACACACACACACCACTCATTTGCATTGTGATTCCTTTACATTGAGATGAATGGGGTGGAATAATGTGATTTATGGAACCTACGTTATGTTAATTGTATCGGTTACATTATGTAATTATGCAATTATGCTAATTGCACAAGTTATGTAATTTTGCCACAGTGGGCCCCACGATGAACAACGCCCTTTTTGGGGGCAGAAAACATCTTTTAGCAGAATGGTAACAGTGTTGCATGGGACAAATTCAGGGTAGAATGCAAAAACACTGCCTTCTTATTACATCTCTACTGCTGGCGTGGATGTCTGTGTGCATTTTTGAGGGAGTCTCGGATTGTGTGAATGTAACGTTATGCCTAGAGAATATTAAAGGCTAAATACTCCAAATGGGATCCCTTTGATGTTCAAATGCGCCAGGTAGATGCTTTGTGAATGATGAAGGGGTAGGATGAGTGGAGAAGAACATAACAGATCAACTCAATCAGCAAAGCTCATGAGTGGAATTAAAAATCCCAGTATTTCTACCCTGAAGTGGTTGGCTTGTTTCTGAGCCGGTACAGATCACAGGTGGTAGTATCATTAAGTGTTGGTCAGAAAAGGGCATTAGTTGTGTCTGAAGCTGAAGCTTGGATAGCATACAAATAAGTGCTTAATCCCATCTTCCATGCCTGGAATTATATAAAAGGAAGAGAGGGCGAGGAGCAGGGAGCAAGGAGCTAGGGGCTAGGGGCTTATCACAGACTTGGCTTCAAGCTCAGAGTCAGAGGAGGCTGAGCTGGCCTTCTGAGTACCAGCCATGGGGGGACCTGGACAGAACGTAGGGTCTATACCAAATATATTTTACCATGATTGAATGAGAAAAATATTCCAAAGTGAGTCTCCTTCCCAAAAACATATTCATTGGAAAATCTCACTTTCCTTTTTGAAACTGTCTTATGATGAGGATACCCCAGGTACTTCTTGCAGGCGTCTGTCTGGTCCAAGCTTTCATGATTTCAGGAGTGAATACAGTAGTACCTCAGGTTACATACGCTTCAGGTTACAGACTCCGCTAACCCAGAAATAGTGCTTCAGGTTAAGAACTTTGCTTCAGGATGAGAACAGAAATCGTGCTCCGGTGGTGTGGCAGCAGCAGGAGGCCCCATTAGCTAAAGTGGTGCTTCAGGTTAAGAACAGTTTCAGGTTAAGAACGGACCTCCGGAACGAATGAAGTACTTAACCCGAGGTACCACTGTAAAAGGATGGCTGCATGTGGTATCATTTCATGTGAGCCCTACCACCTCTTGAACCTGCCCCTTACTTCTGTCCAGTCTGGAGTCCCTTCCTTCCTGCTTGTTTCCTCCTTATGACAGATTTTTATAATGTTTCTCCACCTTGCCCCATGTTTCAAAACAATAGGAAGGAGGAGTATTCCATTAGATAAAAATAACATGGGGTGTGTTTACTTTTTCCTTGTTGTATGGACTTGGGGGAAATAATTTTTTTCTCCATTTGTCTGAGAACAAATTGGTAGTCTTCTGCACTGTGTGTTGGGGGGTGAGGGCACAACAAAATCATAAAGGAGTTGCTTTCATTTGCTTTTCCCCAAGCATCCAAAAGGAGGCAAATACTGTCTCCTCCATCTCAGAAACCTTTGTGCCTAGTTGATTGATGATATCTTCAGAGGCATCCCAGCTGATGCAAGTTGGAACGGACCTGCCAAAAACCAGGGGAAGTCACACAAAAGTCACATGACAGTCTTGATTCAAAATGGTGGCCAATGTCCCAACACTGACAAAAACCTCAGGAACCCTCAGGCCAAGTCTGGCAACAGTTTCTCAAGAGGCACTGAATACACAGAGAACAACTGGACAAAAAGGCAAACCATTTCCCAAAATATATAGATTAGTCATTATTATTATATAGCATGTTATAGGTAACAAACGAGTAACGTTTAGGACACACAAAGAAGAAAAGAAATAGCCATTCCAGAATGAAAAAAAAGAGAAGAATCTTTTAATGAGAAATTCATGGTCAGATAACAGTCCTGATTAATACGCCAATCTTTTTTCAGAAAAATACATTGTTTACTAAAAGAACATATCCATATATGTCAGTACAGTGTATTAACTAACCCGATTTATTTCCATACCTTGTAAGTACCCTGCATTGATCTAATCAAATGCTGTAAATGTAAAAAATGTGTGTTTCGTATTAAGCAATGTTCTTTGCTATATCCCTTAAACTTAATCCAATTAACCATAAAAATACCCTGCCTTTGTTTTTCTGTTTTTAGTTTGATGTAGTATGCTAGTTTGACCATTACAGCAAACTCCCCCACTTTATCAATTCTCTCCATAATGGATGGTATTGTTGTTAAGCACCATTTTTTGCACAGTAGATTCTAGGTGACACCAATATGTAAGAAGGCAGTTCCTTCCATATAATTCAATAAAAATAACACTGGATCTATGGGCATGCTAAAATCCTTCTTAGCTGAATATTATTATTCTTTTACCACTAGTCAGTCCCTGGGTCCATCTGTAGCTCCTTCTGTCCCCTCGGTCTTCAGCTTTGAACCTGGACAATGGGCACAATCCAAACCCTTTTGCACTTGGCTGGGAGTGTGTGAGGATTGGGTGGAGATTCCAGAGCATAAAGGCTGGTGGGAGTGCCCCAATGGGAAGTGGCAGGAAGTCCCAAAGTGGGGAGGGCTGTCTAGAGATCCCATCTTAGTCTGATGGCCCATTGCCAACAATGTGTAACCTTGACACTCACTGTTCAGAGTTTAAAAACACACAGGGCTCCTCCAGAATCATAGAATTGTAGCATTGAAAGGGACCCTGCGGATCACCTAGTCCAGGGGTTGGCAAGGTTTCCGGCCATGGGCCAGATCACTCCCACGGAGATTGTCCGTGAACCGGACTGGCACATTGCCATGGCAGAAATCGGGCCTGCGCATGCCCAGACCCTGGAAACCGCACCTGTGCAGAAGCAATTTCTGGCATCTGGACATTTACAGATGCGATTTCTGGTATCTGCGAGTGCGCAGATGTGATTTCTGGCTCCGCTTGGCGAGTCCCTGTGCCACGCCATGCTGGTTTAGCACAGTGCACAGGGGACTCACAGAGTGGGCAGCTTGGTTCAGGGGCGACTCGTGGGCCGGTAAAATGGTCTTTGTGGGCTGCATCCAGCCCATGGGCCACACATTGCCAACCCCTGATCTAGTCCAACCCCCTGCAATGCAGGAATATGCAGCTGTCCCAAGAAGGGATCGAACCTGCAACCTTGGTCTTATCAGGACCGTGCTCGAAGCAACTGAGCTATATATTCAGCACCCCCCCCCATTTGCTTGCACAGAGCTTGCATGGTGGTTAGACTATGTCCATTCATTATTGAGCACTTGTTTTGATCTGTTTGGAGGACATTTATATGACAATTGAGAATTCATCCTGAATTTGTTCTGATTTTCATATGGGGTGTTTTGATATCTTCTGATTGTTCCTTTTTATTTTTTCTTTATTTATTGAATTTATATACCTCCCTATACCTGCAGGTCCCCAGGTCGGTTCACAGAATAAAATCAGAATCTAAAATAACAAAACACATAATCAGAACAAAAACAAAAACAACCCAACCCATCTCACACTTTTCAATGAAGTTCCCCATCACTCTCCAAGCTACAAAAAAGGATACATATTTTTTAAAGTGGATTTCTTTCATTGGGGAAAGAGAGCATTTTAATCCACTTTAATTGTGCAAGTCTGCTCTTTTGACGTGTGTTTCTGTCCCTCCTGGAAGTCTGGAGACACCCGCAAACACACCCCCCCCACTCACCCCTCCCCAGTTGATCACTTTTGAAGATGGCCGTAGAAATAGTTAAAAGCCAAACAGACGGAAACGTTCTGCTTGCAGCCTGGATTTTTCCAGTACTCTGGCCCTTTAAATCCCCCTGTTCTGCCAAGGCTCCACCCCGTTTTCTGACACAGCACAAGCCAAGCATCTTTAAGCTGAGCAATAGCCGTCAAGCTGGCAGGCTGTGAGGATGCTGGGGAGACCAGGACAGTTCTCTACAGATTACTAGGGACATGGACATGGACCAGGCAGCTACGCACGCACATCCTTGCCGAGCAGCCAGCACAAGACGCTCAAGCACTCTCTGGGAGATCTGACTTGCAAGAGGAAAGAAGAAGCCAACCTCTCTCTCTCTCTCTGCCCACTTGCATGGCTCTCCTTTCAGATGAAGCACTGGGCATCATAAGTCGGACACTAGCATCCCACTGCTGTCAGTCAAGGCAGAACTGGAGAGCTCTGAAGCTTTAAGGAAGAAGAGTGTGCTTCTCTTCTCCTCCCCACATCCCTTTCTGCTACCGTCTTCCTAGCTTCAGGAAAGGACTCCTTCGCCAGGATGTGAGCAGCATCTGAGCTCAGCTACTTATGGGTCCAAAGGCAGGACAGAAGTGGTCTCCTGGATTGCACTGCCCTGCTGAATAGCTCCAAGGGTGGCCGGCCGGCCGGCTGCTGGCAAGAAGCTGACCTAGCAACATCCTATGCCCTAAAAACAGGGGATGAGGTAGGGAAAAGGACACTGACTTCCTCTTCCTCTTCTTCTTCTTCCTCCTCCTCCACCTCTTCCCCAAGACATCTTCAACTGGAGGAGCCATGTCACCTGTGGACTGGAGACCAGGGCCCTTGGACCGGTGGAGACATTCCCTTCTGCTATGCAGATGGAAAGCCTGCACAGACGGAGCTTCTGAACTGAACTGATTAATCTCCCCAGCTGGTTGGCTAGCTGGCCACGGGGAGGGAGCGGGGGCTTTTTCTCTCTATTCATGCGGGGAGTGGGTACAGTTTCCTATTCTTCCTCCCCCCTCCTTCTCTCTCTCTCTCCTCCATACTTGAAGGAAACCAGAAGGGCAATAATCACAGTGCATCCATGTGCAACTGAAGGGTTAATCTGAGAGACGTGGAAGTGTGTGTGCATGTGTGTCGATATCCTGGATTTGATTTTCTTTTTTTAAAAAACTGGATATACCTCACCACTCATGTCCAGGCTAAGCCAGCTTTGGGGAAAGGGAAGAGGACCCAAGAATCTGCTTGTGACATCCAAAGCCATGGAAGGAAGAGAGAGGAGGGGTCCGCTAGGAGCAAGAGGGTTCGGCAGGCTTTGGAAGCAGCCGCCTTGCTAGTAAGTTGGCTTTTTAAGTCATAATAGTGGGTTAAAAAGCAGCTGTCCTTTTCCTTTCGCAGAGGATTTTTGAAAATATTATTTTTATGACCCAGTCGAGCCCATGCAGGCACTGCTATCTGAGGGCCTATAAGGAGATAGCCTTTAGGGGAGGAAATATTTTTGGGGGTGGGAGGAATGCTAAAGTTTATATCTGATGGCCAGCAGAAAGGGATGTGCAAGGAATGTGTGAAAATCAGTGTGCGTGCACACACACATACACGAACTATTTATGTTTGAAGTCTTCTCTTGGTGTGTGTGTGGGGGGGGAGGAATGTGATACCAGTGTTTTGTGGTCTTGGGGTGCTCCTTGCCCAAATGACTGATCTGTCAGGACAAAGCTTGACCTGCTTGGAAGGTGGTGGAGTTTGTGGGGCAAGACAAAGGAGTGGTCCCAGAGCCTGGGTGATCCTTCTCAAGGGATCTCTGCTAATTAGATCGCTACCTGGTGCTTCTGCATGATGAAAAGAGGGTGATGGTCTTCAGGGCTCCCAGGGATTCTGGAAGTTAGCACAGGAAAGACCTGGTCCAAGCTGGTTATTAAGTGATTTAGAAGATTCCTGGCATTTTCCAGATAAGCATCCTGACTATGCTGGTTTTTCCCCCCCTCTCTCTGTCTCTCTCTTTTATCCCTCCATGCAGGAAGTGGTGTGGAATTCTTTGTGCTTCCAGCGTCTCACGGGTGCCCACTTTCTATGCTTAAAACTACGTTTGTCATTTTAAGGAGCTTCCTGAGATTCGTAGCAAAGAGACCTCCCAAGCTTGGCTGAGGCTGGAAGTCCTGCATAGCCCCTCTAAGCCCACCAGCAATAGAGATGGCAGTGGTGCCAAAGATCTCCCGTCCCATGGGGGACCCCTCTGAGGAAGAAGTGTGGGGAAACCGCTGAGGCCAAGCAGTAAGGTCCTGCCTCCAGGATCTCCAGAGGATTCTCCAAAGGGACAGTGGTGAACTAACTGGAAGTGATGCTTTCCTTGTTGGGACAGCAAACGTGGCACAGACTGGCGTGGTATATTGGCTTCTTTCTGCACTTTATCTAGACCCAGGCACTTCAGAGCTTGCAGAGTGGAGTGCAAATAATAAAGCCTTAACCCCTTGGGTTGGCTGTTCATGGCAATCCCATACGACCAGCCTTGCAGTCAGATGGTCATACCAGATCTTCTATACTCAACTGGGACAGATGGGGGCTTGTCCGATTCATTCTTTGTTTGATCTCCCCACAACTGCCCTAGCTTTACTGCCCCGATCCTGCTAGGGTGGGGAGATCGCAAAGGTGGCAGGAGGTGAGCGTGTGGCTGGGGCTTTCTGGGGCAGGGTGGGTGGGCGTTAAGATGTGGAGATCTCCCCAGCCAAGAGGGGCTCCGTGGAGGCACAGTCTGGCTGGGCAAAAGCAGGATGCACCACGCAGCTCTGCCCCAGCTTCCCGGCACCCTGTGAAGGATGAACTCCCGGGGCTTGCAGGATAGGCAGCCCACTGACAACGCTACCGACAGCAGTAACACCAGCGAGAGGGAGCGCATCAGGGGGCGCATGAAAATGGTGATCGGGCAGCTTGAAGGCATCCTGCAAGAACTCAAGGAGGTGGCCAAGGAGCTCCGTGAAGTAAGTGTGGTTGGCAAATGCAAACGGGAGTGTGTGGAGTATATCTGGAGTCATGGGGAGGAGAGGAAGGAAATGAACTGCAAGGGCCTGGTCAGGCTGCTGTAAACTAGTTGAACACAGACTAGGTGCAGAGCTAGAGAGAGAAAACGTACGTGAATTTTCAGAAGGAGCAGAGAGTTAGTGTATAGATGAGCCTGCGGGAGAATTCCATGCCTAGCTCTGTTTTTCATCCCTGTTTTCCAAGCCCAGCTCAAGTTCTCTGACATTATATTGGTGTGTCTCACTTTAAAGGTCCCGGTTGTTTCTGTGCATGTCTTTATGTTAGTGGACACAATGCACCATAGATGGTGGTGGCAATTTCAAGGTTGTGTAAAGATTCTGTGGGTGCCTATTTTGCTCTCAGTCATGCTGCAGCATGGGTTATGTAGTCTTTAAATGGTTGCAAAAAGGTATGCTGCTGCTGTGTGTTTGCCCCCACACACACACACACAAGCTGAGGCTGGGTTGAATTTGATGCCATGGGACATTGTGAGCTTACGGGATATTCTGGAGCTCAAAAGTGCTAAAGTAATCGCAAGAATGCAACTGCTTTGTCAGCAGGCAGGCATTGTAAGAATGCATAATACTAATTGATTAAGTGAGTAAACAATACCTAGTGGAGCCTTTGGAAGTAGGACAAGTTGGGCCATAATAATTTTCAGAGTGGGATTTTCAGAGTTATGGCAAAATTGCCGTAACAGCTGCAATTTATGACGTGTATGTGCCTTTAGTGATGATCCTCTTATGGAACGAAACAGAGTAATAAGGTCATGCCACATTCTTAGAAATTGTTTTCTGCGCTGCCCAATGCACCCTCGGGCATTATGTACCCTGTTGTGTAACATAACGGTATCTCACTGGGCCTTTGTTATAGTTAACAGCTTGAGCCCAAATTGTAAGGAACAGCTGCGGTTATGTCTGAAAAAAGCACCTTCTGGAGACCCACTTCAGGCAGGAGATGGGGCAGCGTAGCGACACAGACAAAAGTGGCATTTGATGCAGGGTAGGGTACCCGCAGCCCTCCAGATGTGACTGGACTCTTGCTTCTATCCGCCTCAGCCAGCATGGCCAAACAATGGGGACGCTGCTAGATCCCTCCAGGGATGATGCTATATAGCTCAGAAACATCTGGAGGGCCCTAGTTCCCTGCCCCTGATTTGGCGGAAAGGCGGGATACAAAGGGCTCCTCCTTACGACCTGTTTATGGGGCATTCATTCTGCTTCGCTTGCACAAAGCTTACATGGAGGTTAGACTACGCCTGATCTTGATGGAACATTTGTTCTGATTTGTTTGCGGGGAAGTTATAGCACAACGAGCATTCATCCTGATTTTGGATGGATTTTAGGGGTTTTTTTCGGAGGGAGGGTTATACATTTTCCCATTAATCCCACCCCACACTTTTCCAAACTGCAGCATGCCTACTTAAAAGGGAAAAGAAGACGCTTTGCTGCCGTAGGGTAAGAAAGTACTT